TATTAGAACACTATGTGACCCAATTTATTTATTCCAATTTAGCAAATGTTAATCTGTTTGATATATAATTGTTGTTTAAATGTTGTAATTGCCATTAGATTACAACTAGGCTACCAGCAATCACATTTGCCTTTCTTACTGCTGAAAAAAAGGACAAACAAAAAAAAAACTATTTACATAAAAACAAACAAACATGCATAATGCAATGTCAAAATATAAAAGTGATTATTTTTTTAATAGTTTGATACTACAAAGACAAAACTATTGAAGTTGCTGCCATCATGTTGACGTGTCCTTTTGGTTGACTGATCCCTGTCAACCTAAATAATTCTGTCTCATTTTGTTAAAACCTGGGCATACAGGCTCATTAGAGCAATTTTATCAAGACTTAAACTCATATCAAAGTGTGGTTTGCAGATCAGAGATTTTTACTTTTGACTTTTACTTTTATATTTTGCGTGCACATTTTAAAGTACAGCAGCATACTTCCATGCTGTTTATGATCAAAAGTGTGGCTTATTAATTTTAATAGAAGCAGAAATATAAAATAACTAACATATAGCTTAATTCTTTTAATCTTTTAATTTGTTTTAATTTGAGCACTCAAATTATTTTAACACTGTAAATATTCAGTAAATACATTAGAAAAGTATATAAGATGGGGGGGGGGGGGGGGGTTCTCCAAGGGCCATAATATGGTAAAATACAATCAAATGCAATTTATTTTAAGGAAGAATTGACAAAAAAAAAAACAAATAAATAAAGGTCAAAGCCAAAATATCTAATCCTAAATCTCACCCTAGGTGCATTGAAGATTATAAGCGTGGTCCTGATGGGAGGTCATGTCTGCCCCTGTCTGAAGTTTGCACTGAGGGGATAGACTGTGGTGAAGTGATAGACATCCCTGCCAACCAGACTGTCTTTGGAGATCTTTTCTACGGATATAACAACCACACCAAAGAAAGCACCTCTGGACAGATCCTGAAGGCGACGTTCAGGTAACCACACAAGCTGTTGGTGGAGTGGAACATTGTTCAAGCAATTGTTTCTCAGCAGGGAGGCTGTTAGGGAGGGTTTGGCTCCTGCAGGGCAGACAGCTTTGTGATAGATCTCTTTCAATCAACACACTCTAAAGTCATTTGAAAGAAACTACATTCACTCTATAAGCAACAGAAATTGGATACTGCTTTATAACACAAAGACAGTCACCATAATTAAGTCTAAATTATACATTTCTAAAATATAAATGTGCTGAAGCGAAATGATATAAAATTACACACTATCCATCCATCCATTTTCTTTACCTGGTTTACCTTTTTGGGTTGCATGTGTCTATCTCCAGCAATCAATATGTGAAAGGTGGGGTACGGCCTGGACAGGTCGCATCCATCACATACACATAATCCAAGTATACTTTAGTGTTCTTCTATAAACATCCCCAAACAAGATGTCAAAAAACATCCACTCTGAGACCTGGATTCAGTAACATCAAGATTCAGCGGAAATAAGTGCTGTTGTTGTGTACACTAATGGCCAAACCACGGCAGAAAAGCTATGGATTCACTCAAAATGGGCATGTAAACTGGGCCTCAGTTTTGTTTCAGGCAGCTCCAAAACCATGTTGATGTAATTTAACACCTGCACTGGAGCACTATATATATATAAAAAAAAAAAATATATATATATATATATATATATAAAACAGATCTAAAAAACACACAGATGGTGCATATTAATCACAGAAAAATTGGTCCCAGTTTGCATTCATTTTAAAAGTTAATGGCAATGGACCCCCCCCCCCCCACCCCACCCTACCCCCTTCTTTTTTTGTTGTTGCTGTTATCTCATAATTTGAGTCTGCATCTAATCCCAACAAAACATAGCCCACTGAAACATTAACAGCAGTTAATGTTGCAGTGAATGGTATTTTTCCTCTGGTATTAGATCAAAATAAATAAATAAAAATTATGCACTTATGGGAAAAAAGAGAAAATAATACCATAACATTTTACTGTTCATTCATTCATCCTCTACCGGATGTCTTTCAACATTTGTTCCATGTATTATCAAGTAACTAAGCCTTTTCTTACTGCACATTATTTTCTTCATAGTGATGTGTATTGCCCAAGTATTCTGGATTTTCAAATTATTTAAGGGTGGAATATGTTTGGCTCATTAGTAACATTTCTCTACAGGTTGTGAAAGATGGAATCAGTATCTGCAAAGGGTATTTCATAAGTGGACAATGAATCTTTTGTGGATTTTATTTCTTTTTTCTTTCCTGTAAAATGGAAAATGGCAACAATAAAACTTGTTCCTGTCAGAAACTGCTCACGATAAAAGCACGTTGCTTTTAATCACAGGCATAAAGTCTGGAAAAATGCAATAATAAAACAAAAGCACCTCGTATTTTCTCTTTTTTGATGCTTATATAGTAAACAGCCATACACATTCCCTTTTTAATTTATATAACGTTTAATGTGAAAAGTAGAGTACTTTAAGGTGGATAATTATCTCTGTCTGCATGCTGTAACCATCAACACCAAACCCAGGAAGCCCGAAGGTCAGCAAAGGCATCTGTGGCCTTGGAATTTAATTTGAGCTGTGCATGGATTCCACCGCCAAAGGCAATGCACCCACTTAGGGATCCACCACTAGAGTCTATGAGAGGGAGGGATGGGTGAGGCAGGAACGCTAATATCATCAAGAATCTAAATCTCAAATGCTCTGATCTTATTTGAAAGCACTTGCGAATGGATAGCACGGTCAGAGCCAGACTTTGACAAACACCAAACGCTTCCTGTAGAGATGTGGTGGTGGAAGAGGATGGAAGACTCTATTGGGATGCATGGTTAATACAAGGTCTAATTATAAGACATAGCAGCAAATGAATTAAGGCTGACCAAGAGCCAGTTTGCTGAAATTCTATTCAATTAAACCAGATGAACGCTTCACTTTACAATGAACATAAGTTACAGGAACATGGCATCAAAGCTGAGCATCAGAGTTTGAGGTTTAATATTACACAGAACACAAATATTGTTTTAGAAACAACCTGTCATATTTGGAATTCACCCTCTGGAAATGGTTCCCTTGCAAGAAAATATAAAACTGTCCTCTAGGAAGTTAAATGTCAAATATAATGACACCCAGCAAGGAATGACTCCTTCATAAAGCTGCTTGGGAAATTACCTGAGGCTTCCTATGTGTAAAGTGCAATGGAAAACTCATGTTGCAGGTCAAGTTGTCATGTGTCAATAAATTAAATTTGACTTCTGAATGTATTGCATTCAAAAGTAAATCCTGTTACATGGTGTCAGTGTATTTGGTAGGTGAATGAGACTTCTCAACTTGTGACAACACATAAATGGTTCTCGAGGTATTACTGTCATTCAAGAAGTGTAAATAAATAATGTCACATGCGTTAAGCCTAAAATCGGATTTGACTTCTTAAAACCCAAGGGTGATTTATTGTAACAGTGACTGATACAAAGTAAGCAGTGTTGATGTATGATTTGCATTTTGGAAAGTATATAAATTTGCATAAAGTCAAATCAGCTATTTTGCTCATTAACTTGTATTATTGTGTAGAAACTATAATTATGTTTTACTCCTGTATAAAATATTTGCCTATTTCACAAAATAGTACTGGCTTGTCTGCAATGGTGAGACCCTTTATGAACTGCCTCTGGTCATTCATTAATGACCAGTCAATCTGGTAGTGGTCAATGACAATATAAGCTTTTTTTAATTAAAGAGCCAAAGGAGGTGTGGAGTGTAGGTCAGCAGCTTTGATTTGGAGCACTACACATAAAATGAGTGTGGGACATCTTCCTTCTTAAATCCTGCAGACCATTACATCACTAAATCACACTCTTGAGTCGCAATGCTGGCTTAGCATTTCACAAATTGACCACCTGTCACTATCTCACTTGGTTGTTCAGAGTCATAACAGCAGCAAGGATTACTTCAATCCACTTACAAAACACAAAAAGACAACTTAAGGCGCCTTAACTACATTTTTTTTTGTAAGTGTTTTGTGAAATGGACAGCAGTTTTGATGTAAATTCACAAATGTGGATTTTAAACACATGAAAAATCCATCCACCCATTATGCTTTACCTGCTTTTTCTGTTTCGGATCACGGGGGTCACTGGTGCCCATATCCAGCTGTCACTGTGCGGGAGGCAAGGTACACCCATGACAGGTCACAAGTCCATCACCAGGGACATATAGAGACAAACAAGACAAACAACCATTCACTCTCTCACTTATGCATGGAGACAATTTAGTTACCAATTAGCCTAACATACATGTTTTTGGTCTGTGGGAAGAAACCAGAATACCCGGAGTACCACACGCATGCACGGAGAGAATATGCAAACTCGAACCAGAAAGTTCCCCTGGCCAGTATTCGATCCGGCTACCTTCTCTCTGAGAGGCGGCAGCTCTACCAACTGCACCACCGTGCCACCCCACATGAAAAATGTGACAAAATAAACAAAGCTCTGTAGCTTTACTTTGAAAACACTGTATTAAAGCAGTGTACTATTTCTATACTATCATCCAAAAGCACAAGCTAATACTGTGAAACTCAAAGATTGTTACCTAATTGTAAGTGGACTAAAACCACACATTAAAATATACCTTCCAAGTCCATGTTTATAGAATGAATTACAAGAAAGAAAGAAGAAGAATATTATTTTTTTTTTTTAAAGAAATTGCTCACATTAGGTAAACATATTGTATTTGAACACAGCACACAACTGGCTATAAAACATGCAATGTAGACAGTGTTGGTACTTTTACAATGTCACACATACTCTAGAGTGGTTTTGAACTACTTTGAACTATATCTAAAAAAGTTAAATCTGGTCCTCTGGACATTCAAAAAAACAAAACAAAGCAAAACAACAAAAAAATGTAGAAACGTTTCGTCTCTCATCCGAGAGACTTCCTCAGTCTTCCTCAGTCGGATGAGAGACGAAACGTTTCTACATTTTTTTGTTGTTTTGCTTTGTTTTGTTTTTTTGAATGTCCAGAGGACCAGATTTAACTTTTTTAGATTTTTCTACCTGGATTATTGAGCATGCATCAGGATACTTTGAACTATACTTCTACTTTAGAAGTTGCCAGTTTGCAAAAATGTACTTGTCTCAGTATTAAACACATTTTTTACATTCCTATGCCCGATGTACACTGTGGGTCATATGAGCAGCCCCTCACTCCTCACTTCCACAAAGGTCAGAGCATCACATACAGTACATAGCATGCTACCAGTTTTAGACTTCAGCAAAGAATTGTGACTTGTGACAAACTAAGCAGTTTACCTAAAACACAGAGACTCACCTACCAAAGAAAAATGAAACAAAAGGCAATATCCTAACCTGACTCCTGACAAAGAAACAGGAGAAAGCTGACGGTGAAACAAAAAGACCTGTTTCCCTTCCTCTCACAATTAGTGCTCACTACCGGTATGTACAAAAGTTGTCTTACGTAGGTGCAGATTCACAAATATATTTGCTTATCTCAAACAATGTCACAAGTATTTCAAATACCAAACAAATCAGAACGTGAACCAAAACTATACAGCTGATTCTCTGTGGAGAAAGCAGGGTGAGAAGTCATGTGCAAGTGTTCAGTTCTTCACTTGCATGTATTTTAAAATCATAGAAAGTGCATCTGGAGCCTCATCTAATGCTTCTTTCATAACGTTCATAAAGACGTTTCGTATTTGTTGAGAACACTGCTGAACTGGTCCAGTGTTACTGTAGCAGCCGTACCTCTTATGCTGGTCAGGGTGAAGATGATCTGCCATGCAGATTTTCAGCTTATGAACTTTCTGGGCTCATGTTAGCAGGTTTTAGTGTGGTCTTAGAGTGGACAATCCATTTCACAGCGTTTGTGCACCATCTTGTAATGCTGTTCCAAGTTACTCTTTTTGGACAAGGCCGGACTGACATAGGGATAACGGACTTCACATTTGACAAAACAAAAT